GGGCGGAAGTGCACCGCCGCCCAGCCCCGAGCCGGAGCGGATCGCGGGGAGGGGGGCCGGGGGAGGCTGGGTGTGCGAGCTCGGGCTGGAGAACGGCTGCCTAGCGCCCGAGGAAGGCCGGGGCCCGGGGCATCCAGGGGTGTCCGCCGATGCCAGGCCTTGCACCTTCCTCGCTCGTTGCCTCTGGGCACACGTTGGGCGTTGGACGCAGCACTCCTGGGTTTGGTGGCGGGGGTCGGGTGGGGGTTTCCCTCGATTTTCGGGGGCTGTGCATTCCCTTTCCCACGGTCAAACCGATCACCTGTCAGAGTTGCAGCACCAGCAGCCCGGGAGAGGCTTTGTCGTGCACCGCGCACTAGCTGGGTTAAGCCGTGGAGTCCTCTGCCCTCTCTTGCCCGTAGCGAAAGGATTAAAAATGAGCATTTTTGAGCACCTACTAAGTGCTACAGGCTTTTTGTAAAGCGAAGAGCTTGTGGAATTTAAACTCTTCCTCTGCCCGGAAGGAGAAATGGATATTATGATTATAGACAGGTGCACGTGTATGCATTGCCCTCACTCCTCCAATTCCTCTGGTTTCACCAGAACCTGAAGAACCAACCTTGTAGTGAGAGATCTCAGCCTCCCTAGAGGGAGCTGGCTGTGAGCATGGTAATTAATTGGAGGACCCTACAGCAGACTGCCTAACGAAGCACACTGTGACTGGCGCCGAGAAACTTGGGACAACTAAACCTGTGTTCTTCCTCAGTTTCCCCATCAGTACAATGAGGCTAAAAATTGGGGTTAGCTTAAAAGATCATTGCAAGGATTAAGTGGGTAATAGATGAATCAGTGCCTAAAGCAGTGCCTGATGAAAACAAGTGGTTTTTTGTTTGTTTGTTTTTTTAAATAGTGTCTACCCAAACCATCTGGAAACCTCACCACTTATGGGTAGAGCTCCAGGTCACTGGGACAGACATCAGCCAACATTGGCTATTAGTCACAGTCCTGTCAGTTCATCACGTACTGAAAGGTCAAACCCCAGAAGCTCCTGAATGACTTATATGTGTTTACAATGCACAGGTACTTGAAGAAAAAAACAAAAAACTGCTTTTAGTGGAGACCTAGTAGCTCACACCTGCAATCTTAACTACTCAGGAGGCTGAGAGCTGAAGGTAAAGGTTCAAAGCTAGCCCAGGCAGAAGAATCATGAAATGTAAGTCCAGTTAACCACCAAAAAGCCAAAGTGGAGCTGGGGTTCAAATGGTAGAGTGCCAGACTTGAGCAAAAAAGCTAAGGAGCCATCCCTCAGTCCTACTGGCGGGCGCGTGCACACACACACACACACACAAATGCACAAATGTATGTTTTCCCTGCTGTTGTACTTTTCAGCTTTCCTGCTACACAGGTCTATTTTCCTTAGTTATATTGAGAGTTCAAAAGTTTTTCTTCACTTTTTTGGCTTTTAAGCTCCTCTTCCCCCATGTCTTTGATTTGATTTGTATTTTCCTGTCTGATTTACATTTTCTAATGCTCTTCCTCAGTACTCACTTTTGTTTGCAGAGCATATTGTTAAACCACTGTCATGTCGACAGCAAGTTCAGGGCAGTTGTGAGCATAAAATGTCAACATAGAAGATCCTTAGAGACAAAATACTCCTTACTCAATATGAGTGATGTTTATAAAGATTATAAACGTGAACCAACTGAGTTAAAGGTCCTGTTGATGTAAAAAAGCAAAACAACAACAACAACAACTTAATTATTAAGTGTCACAAAGTGCTGAGCACCTGAGTTGAGGGTACAGAAATCAACCATAACCTGGCAATGGACAGAGTCTTGGGAGAATGGTGACCAATTAGTTAGGCCCTGTGGTGAAAGCAGTAGTACCTGGCTCTCATACAGCTACTGCCTATCTGTGGAGGATCTCCTCCCTTCCTCACAGTGACTCTTCATCCTTACCTCATCTGAAATACTGTTCCCGAGGAAAACCATCCCTCGTCATTTTCCTATTCTATCTTCCCACCCTAGGTTTCCCTTAAAACCTGCCTTCACCAAGCATGCCACATGGGGTGTTTTTTTCAACCATTTCCTGTTTACTTATTAGAGTCTTCCTCTATAGAGTCTATCTCCTTAACATCAGCCAGTGTTAAATGTATTTTAACTATCAGGTTCAGAAAATAATTGTGTATAGTTGAGTAAGTAAGAGTTTTAATAACAGTATGACACATCTACTGTCCTGATAAGCATTCTGCTTGATGCATGGGGCTGAACCTTGTGGAGGGATATTATCACCAATCAGTATACAGAGAGAGGACCACAAGGCATGGGAAGGTGAAGTATCTTAGCCAGGGCTGCCCAGCAGCATAGCGTGGCTTGTGTTTCTGACTCTTACCTGCCATGCTGTCACACTGTACAGTGCTGGAAAGCATGGAAGAGAGGCCCAGGATGAGCTCCCCACACAAAGCAGTTGGATTTGCAGGTGAGGATGTACAGAGGAAATCAAGCCAGGGGCTAGAGAGGAGCCACAGCATGAACTGCTGGGTGGAGCATTGCAGATGATTCTGGAAAAGTCATCAGTGTCCCCTTATATCTTAGACGGTTGTGAGTTTCTCTCCCTTCCCTCTCCTGGACCCTTAACAAATGAGCAGTGTTCTGCATTTGCAGATCTAAGTATGTCTCTTCCCCTTTAAGACTCAAGAAAGATATCCAGTTGACACCTGTTTTCCCCTAGGGCTGCAGGTCTGGTACTAGGCAGGGTCTGTATGATTGGGAGAGCAGGTGTTTAGCATGTGGGAGAACAGCTCTCAAAGAGAAGCCACAGTCAGCTCCTACCATTATTAACTATAAAGGGCTCAGCCTTGCCAGATCTTTCAGTTCTTTTTTCAGGCGGGGGGGAGGGGACTTGCCAGGAGCAGGCAAGCTAGGCATCTGAACATACTTGAGAAGTCTTCGAATTTGTAAGAGCTGCCTCATTTTCCAGCAAGCAGGATTATAGAGTTGATAGCCTTAGCAAAGAATACAGTACACCTAGTTGCATCTGAATTTCACATTACAAAAACATTTTAGTGTATGTAATATCCCAAAAAGTGCATGGAATGGGCTTATTTTCTACCAACAAAAAAAATTGGGGGGGAGCTGTTCACCAGAAAATCATACTCACCTATATGTTCGTCATTTTATTTGGCTTTCTGAAGGCTCCTCTTGTCCTTTGTCTTCAGTTGCTTTTCTTTTGCTGAAGAATAAGGTATTTCCTATACCTGATAGAGGCCTCCTGATTCCTTCTCTAAATCATCTGCTCAGTCCCCACCATATTTTGTTTTGAGATTCTTCTGAGATAGGGCCTTTTTAGTAAAGATTCATCAAGGACAGATGCAATGAAGAGTGGACCTGTTTATTGTCTTGATGACATATTAAGCAGTATCAGGTCTTAATTTAAAATTTAAGAGTAAGATTAGCAATTGTCCTTGCATTAATTGTATGTTGATAGTTTAATTTTGGACAGACTAGTTACCCAGAGGTTGCACAATTTGATACATTTCTTATGGATTGAACTGCAGAACTTTCACATTTTTTCCTGCTGTTTTCCCCCTCAATAATTCCATTAGTTTTTATGTCCATGTTAGTAAAACAGAATAGTAATTTTTTTCTTTCCTTATTTGCAGCTCATTTATAACAGCTTTGCTCAGTTCCTAGTCAAGGAGAAAGGGTACGATAAGGAATTGCTCACTGTGACTCCTGAGGATTGGGATTTCTGGTAAGTTCTTTTTATTTTTTTAATGTGGCTTAATTCTTGCCGATAAAATATTAATACTTCCTCAGGTAAAGTTACAAAGTAAAATGTAAAATTGAGTCCAAAGGCAAAATGGCTTCTAAGCTAAAAGTTTTGTGTTTAATTGAATTAAGGTCTTTTCTACCTTAAACAAGTTTTGACTTAGTTAAATGTGAAAAATGAGCTGAGTTTTTGTGACTAATTTGGATGTTTTTATGGCTTAGATCTGTAATAATTAGAGGTTTAAGTGTTTATTACAAACTAAAGTTCCTATCTTTATGAAAAGGCTTTTTTGTTTTAAATCCTTCCAATGAAAAACCATAAGAGAATTCAAGTGACTGGATTAGTGTCTGGTTCTCCTGATTTAGTGTTCTCTTCTTCCTAATGCTTATTTTTTCTTTTTCTCTCTCATTTAAAGAGCATAAGCAAAAATCATTAGCTACTTTATATGGTTTAGTTTAGCAGGTGTGGTGGTGTGTGCGTGTAGTCCTAGCTACTCCAAAGGCTGAGATAGGAGGGTCACTTCAGCCTGGGAGTTGGGGTCCAGCCTAAGTAATATTTCTTATAGGTAAAAAGGTAGGTAGGTAGGTAGATAGCTAGATACTAGGTAGGTAGGTAGACAGACAGACAAAAATAGGTGGGTAGATATGTAGGTAGATAGAAGAAAGAAAGGAAGGAAAAGAAAAAAGTTGATTTAAATTAATAATCCTAAATAATGTCCATCTATTATACATTCCTCCAATATTTGGTTGGTCTTTTCATAGATCCTTTACACACAAAGAAGAAGCAGAAGGCTCTTGCTATATGAAATTATTGGCTCTGAAATGTATATTGCAAATGAAAGCAAATACTGACTGTGAAGAGCCCTTTCATTTATGTTTGACTCTCAGTATCTATAGCCTCTTGGTGTTCATTGTTCATATAAAGAATCTGTGCTCACTTCACTCCCCAAATCGCGCAAGCTTTTTGTATCAAAGAAACTAAAAGTTTGACCACTCTTACTGGTTTTCAATAGTATGCCTTGCCCAAGAGCAAGTTCTTATAACTGGACCCAAATTGAGGCAAATTCTAATTAGTACAGAGAACACTCTGGCTAAGAGGTTATCTTGTATAAATATGTATGCAGGTATATGTTTGAGTATGTGTTTCTCATCACCATTTGTTGTAATTTTTAACTATACTGAGGTTTGAACTCAGAACTTAGCACTTCCTTGGAAGGCATCTTGTTACCCGAGTCATGTTTCTGGCTTTAGTTATTTTTCAGATAGGGCTAACACTGTGATTGTACTATATTTACCTCCTTTGTGTTCTGGAATTACGGGCACCTGCCACCACATCAGCTTGTTTGTTGAGAACTCCTGTTAACTTTTGGCCAGGCTGGCCTAAAACTTTGAGTCCTCCTCATTTTTGTCTTCACAGTAGCTGCATCTGCACATTTTTACAGAGGCATAGAATAGTGTTCTGGTATGTTGTTTTTTCCTTGTTTGAATTTCAGATTCATTTTTTAAATGCCTAAGGATTTGTAAACTAAACATGTTTCCTTATATTGCCTAATTCCTATATTCCTCTGGTTTGTGGTGAATATTTAATTTTGCAGTCTTGTTTGATTAGCATATCATTTGCCTAGATAGGAGAATCCTTTTTCAGCACTACAACTTTTTAAAAATACAGATTATTGTTTCATAAGATAGCTAAGTACATGAATTAATTAAAATTTAACTTTTCTGTTTTAGTTGCAAAGGTTTAGTATTGGATCTGGAAGATGGAACCTTCATTAAACTTGCAGATAATGGCACTGTGCTCAGGTAATAAAAATTAGCAGTGAAATGAAACATGGCTTTCTCTAGGATACCTAACTCTCTTAGCATATGATCCTTAAGGCATGATAACATAATTAAGATTGTTTCAATCAGTGAGATGACAGATAATCTGTCTTCCTGAAATGTCTTTGTATGATTTGTTAGGAATGTTTCAATATAAATCTGTGAGCTTTGGGTTTAGATGTTCAGTTCCTTTAAGTTTGGCTCATTAGAAATAGTGATAAAGAACTATGACTATTAGAGTTATAGAGTTAGCAACTTGCTTTCTCTCATTGAATACCCTGTGCTATATTAAGGCCTAGAAATCATAATGTTTTAGTGCGTAGGTGCCTAGATAAATTAGGGTTCTTTTACAGAAGAGAATCACTGTTGGGGTTGGAGTTGATTGTCCGTTCTTTCCTCAATTCTTCAAGACTCATGTATGTCCAAACTCATCCTTGAAATTCTTCTGTATGGTTCTAACCCTGACCAACTGATTTTCCTCTGCCTCTCCTCCCACACTCTTTCTTTTCTCTACCGAGTGTGCTACACCCTCCAGTATTGGTCAGGACATGAAAAGCAATAAGGAAGTAGCTGCTGTCATTGTTCCAAGTCTTGTAGAGACCAGTAGGGAGTTAGAAACTGTTCTTTTCCTCATACCAATAGTGTCATCCTGTCAACTTGACTATGAAGCTATGCCTTAATACTTATACTAACATGGTCAGGGGCAAGGAAGATTCTGAGCTCAGGACCCCTGTGTATACTCTTGAAACCGTTCATTTTGTATAATAGAAATTCTTTTCCCATGCTTCCCCAAACATTATCCCAAGGTGTTTCGAACTAGATGGCCTCCTCACCTCTGATTCTTTTGTCATTTACTTGCATGTGTCTTTTCTCAGGCAATTGGAGTTCTCTTAGTAAGGTCTACATGATGCAAAACTAGTATTTGAATCATAGGAAAAACCTACTTTCATCTCTTGATCTGTTTTGCTCCATTCTTCTTGCTGCTTCCCAGTGAGCTTCTGGCTGTGCTGTGTCTTTCAGTGAGCTGGTTGTGCCCTCTCTTCTCAGTCCCCTGTGCTCACAGTCACCCTCTGTGGGGCCAGGTGTCTGCTGTGTCCCTGTGGACCTGGTGTGGCTCCTGCTGTAACCCTGCTGTTCCTCGTTACTGCTGGCTCCTTACTGAGTCGGCTTCCCACCCAGTCCACGCAGTTGCTTTCTAGTTGTTCCAATAATGTTTTTACATATTTTTCTTATAGGTGTGATCTTTATTGAACCCAAAGCCTTGGTGCTCTGCTAGGAGTTATAACACCAGATACATATTTCTTATTTTTGAGCAAATCAGGTCAATTTACCCTGTCTCGCTTGGAACCTTGGCCCTCCTGCCTCAGCTTTCTGGGTAGCTGGAATTAATGCACATGTACCACTGTGCCCAGCTTTTTCTCATCATTTGGTTAAACCAAAACTTCTCTAGTGAAGGGTGGAATCTTGCACAGTATGGACCTCAGAGTAAAAGCTGTCAATCTCTTGCTAGTAGGTGGATCAATGGAGGAAGAGCTAGGAAGTACCCTAGTTGAAATATATGTGTGTATATATGTATATATATTCTGGATATCACACACATACATACATACATACGTACCTATATATAGAGAGAGTGTGTGTGTGTGTGTGTGAGAGAGAGAGAGAGAGAGAAGGGAGGGAAGACTAGGAATTCTCCTAGTTGATAACAGAATATACAGAGGTGGGGAGAGAGAGAGAGAGGTGGGGGTGGAGCATAAGCATGATACATAGCCTACACTCTGGAGACGACTGAGACAAGTATCTCAAGTTACTTGGGAGGTTGAGGTAGGAGCATCTCAAGTTCAGGGCTAGCCCAGGCTACATAACAAGACTTTGTCTCAAGAAAACAAACAGACAATGAAAACCAAATTTTGGTTAGCTGCAGCAGCAGAAGTGATCAATAATCTCAGTGCTAGCGAAAAAGGTGATTGAGGGGCATCATGAGCATTGTGCATGATCTCTCACTCCAGGGCAAGCCATGGCACCAAGATGATGGATCCAGAGGTGCTGGCAGAGACATATGGCAAGAAGGAGTGGAAGCACTTTGTGCTGGACACAGGCATGCCTTGCCGCTCAGGTAGGCCTTACATGAGTACTGCTGTCATCCATTTCCATTTTGTTTTTGCACCCTGAACTTGCTATGTGAAGACCCAGAGACCCCATGCAACCCTGGCAACCCTGGCAAGGCCAGATGGACAAGCAGCAGTAGAATGTATTTATTTTCAAGTATATCTGATGCCTATTTAGCAGTTGCTTCAGAATACCATTGATAACATTTTCACATGGTTATATTGAAGGATTTGTTGGTCCTGCTTTTCCCAGCACTTGTTCTGCAGTAAAGAAGATTAACACTTGGGAATACTACGTTCCTAAGCCAACCTATCTCCTTTAGCAGTCATTCGTATGACCCTTAGTTTCCCTCCATGTTTCTCCACATTTACATTGTCCACCTAAGTTTCCCAGGATTCTCTTTCCTTCTAGGATCCTTTGACCCTTTTTTTCCCTAGTTTTAAAGTGATTTTGTGCTCTTTTGTTTCTGGTGCGGTACTCAGGCTTGAATTCAGGGCCTAGATGTTGGCCCTTAGCTTTTATGCTTAAGGCAAGTTCTGTACCACTTGAGCCACAGCTCCACTTTCAGCTTTTTGGTGGTTAATATTTGGAGAAAAGAGTCTCACAGATGTTCCTGCCCACGCTGGCTTCAAACCTTAATCCTCAGGTCTCAGCCTCCAGAGTAGGAGCTTGATTGCAGCTTGAATCAACAGCTCATAGTCATGCTTAGTATGCCCAGGAGCATCCTGGGAATGCTCTCTGGTTATCCCCTTTTAAGTGTTTCTAATCTAGTTGTCCAGTGCCCATATAGTCAGCCTGTGACACATACTTAAGATCTCAAGTTTCTGCAAAATAGTAAAGATAGGCTGATGGGTTTTTTTAAGACTGTTTTTTAATGGTAGAAAAGTTAAAAAAAAAAATTGTGTCTCCACAACCCAATTCCAGTGTGTGTACATGTTTAAGAATAATTATAGCATACAATTAGAAAACCGAGGATTTTTCTCAGAGATTTCTGACGAGATGCAAAAACAGTACCTCAAGTTATCAAGAGGCTGGGATGTCGGTTCACTGGCTCAACCCATGTTTTGTTCCATGTGGCTCCATGGCCTTTGAATGAGAATGAGTGGCACTGTTGTGTCCGAGGTAGGATGATGCTGTGCAGTAGTACAGTCTGGACTCAGACATTGGGCCCCTGGGATGTGACAAGGGCCACTGGAAGTATTGTCCAGGAACAGCATAACTAAAAGTATCATGTATTCCAGGGGAGGGTTCAAGTATAACTTTACCCCAATGTTACAGAATAAATCTGATTACTTCCCCCCCCGCATGAGATCCTGGAATTTTGCTGAGACAAGCCACTGTATATCATCCACATGTTATGGGTTTTTATTCCTCTCATCATCCTGGCTATCCAAAATTTTGTCCAAAATGGCATCCTCATTGACTGTGGTACACTATATATATATATATATATATATATATATATATATATATATATATATACACACACACATATATATATACACACACATATATATAATTATATGTATATATATTATATATATATTAAAGACAACGAGTCTTGGATAGAATGTTGAGCTTATGAATGTCTTACTTTAACTTGCTTGTAGTATCTTCAGAATTTAAGCAGCACTCAGAAGACTAGTAGCCTAGTAGCCTAGACTGAAATTCTTTATGAAAATTTCTCATAGAATTTCTGTTGGGCAAATTGTTCCATTATATTCTGCCTTTGCTCAAGGGAAAAATATGAAACAAACTGTGTCTCAAATAGAAATAAATACATAAGTAAACAAAATGAATGGATGGATAAATAAATGCCCTTTGTATAATTAAACAAAAACCTAGTATTTCTTCAAAGAAGTTTACGTGTTTTGTACTTGCATGAGGCATTAATTTGTTCATAGTTTTAAAGATTTCTTCTGTTTTTAGGAAAATACTATTTTTATGATAACTACTTTGACCTGCCGGGAGCTCTTCTTTGTGCCAGAGTGGTGGACTCTTTAACAAAGGTGAGTATAGACAATCATTTAAAAAACCTGTGTGATTTGTATTTAATCACCAGTAAGAAGATTTAATTACACACACCTGTCAAGGGGAGATTTTTTTTTTTTGTATGTAGTTTCCTCATGGTGGTTATATAGGTCACCAAGGAAGAAAAAGCATGATGAGTTTGATCGACATATTTTTGGAACATGAAAGAACAGTGACTATTTTTCCTAGGAAAAATAAATCTATGTTCCTCTCCAGCAGAGGGTGCAAAAGTCTAGAAAAACAAAATACAGAACTTGATCTACTCTTAGTTTCAGTACAAGAAAAAAAAGTAATTAAGGAAATTCTATGTATATTAAATATGCTATATAGTATTAACTATGAAAATCAGGTGAAATTTTAGGCTCATTTTTGCTTTAAGTATCTTATGTATAATTATATATAATTATCTAGTAATTGTTGTTTTGATAGAGGACACAGTTCATGATTCCAAAAAATCAAAAAGCTATAAAGTTAAGTGTTTTAATATAATATTTATTTACTTTCTGGCCCAAAAAAATTCTATAAAAATAATTAAATACTGGATCTGGAATCGCATTCACCTTTTCTGTAGTGGCTTACTGTTCTTTTTAAATATATATATATATATATATACATATATATAGTTATTATAAAGGTGATGTACAGAGAGGCTACAGTTATGAAGTCAGGTAAAAAGTACATTTCTTTTTGGACAATGTCACCCTTCCCTTGCTGCTCTGGTTTTTGTTTTTGTTCTTTTTTGATACAGGTTAAGTGGTCCCGGCAATCTGAAATAAAGCTTAGGGGCTTTAAAGCTTCAGGCCTCTGGGGGGCTTTAAAGCTTCAGGCCTTTGGGGGGCTTTAAAGCTTCAGGCCTCTGAGCTCCAATGATGAAACAGTGCATTTAGTAATATATTTGGTTTTCTCAAAAGCCATAAAACAGTGTACATTTGCTTACACATTTAAAAATGTTTTTTAGCTGGGTGCTTGTGGCTCATGCCTGTAATTTTATCTGAGATTTAATGATTGCCATTCGGAGCTAGCCCAGGCAGAAAAGTTCATTACACTCTTATCTCTAGATAGCCATAAAAATTCAGAAGTGGGGCTGCAGCTTCAGTGGGAAGAGCACTAGCCTTGAACTCTAAAGCTCAGCGATAGCATTTAGGCCCAGAGTTCAAATCCTAGGACCGGCTAAATAAATAGATAATAACAATAAAAAATTGCCTGAGTTTGATATTTGTGTATGATTTTTGTGGACTGTTACTAAAAGCACTTTGAGTAGAATGAGTACTTTATTGATTTAGTGTGTCTCCTAAACCATAAATCCCTATCTTAGAACTGAGTCATACTGTTTGCCTGCATTTTCCACTATGCTAAGACACAGAATTATTACATTTGTTACATTTGGAATTTTTTTTCCTTTTAGCAGAACAGTGGTCAAAAAGCATTTGATTTTTGGAAGGATATAGTTGCTGGTATACAACACAATTTTAAAATGTCAGCTTTTAAGGGTGAGTAACTTGAAGAGAGGGTTGCTAATACATGTGTGTTCCATGCTGTGAATCTGTTAAACTAAACAGAAGTTGCCTCTTTTACTGTGATCCTTACTTAGGATTCAGTTTTGTCTTCAATATTACTATAAAGTTATTTCTGCTTACCTTTTAAGTGGTTCTTAAGTTCATGTGCTTTATGGCCATAATTGCCAGTATTCTGAGCTTTGCTGTTAAATTGTCCTGGACATGCCTTCCAGTAGAGTTGTTCCGTGTTTTGTGAGAATTGAAGTTCTAGTGTTGCTGTTTGGTGATACACACCTACATCCTTAGTGGAGAAGTTATAGACAGGTGAGCAAAGTGCCTGCTGGTGAACATTGTCTTCTTGTTGATTAAGAAATGGAAGTGGTTGACGCAGAATAGGGGCAGAGTTATTGTCATCCTCAAGCCTACGGTTTCATGCTGTTATTTGCAGGCTTTCTCGGGTGACCTAAAGGGTAGTTCTAAGGCTACGGATGCCTTTATGTTACTCTGCTGCTTCAATCAGACTGGCTTGATGCAATTAGTTGGCTGGTAGTTACTCATGAACAGTCTTTTTCAGTTTAAAAACATATTGCTTTTTGGTTTACACTTAAAAATGCATGACTTGGGCTGAGTAGGGAAGCTTACACATGGAATCCCAGCAATTTGAGAGACTGGCTTGAGAGAATCACAGTTTGAGCCAGCCTAAGCAAGAGGTTAGCAAGACTCCATATCAACAGCTAGAATGTGGTATGGTTGTACACACCTATTATCTAAGCTAGAATGGGGTATGGTTGTATACACCTATTATCTAAGCTATGGAGGGAAGTATAAAATAGGATAGCAGCTTAGGCACAGGCAAAGGTTAAAAAAAATATATGACCCTGTCTCACAATAACCAGTGCAAAAAAAGGGCTAAAGATGTGACTTGGCAGTAGAGTGTCTACTTTATAGGTATTAAGCAAGTTTACCCCCATACTTCCAAAAAGTAATAAAATAGCATGCCTTGACTGGCATGTGGTTTACACCTATAATCCCAGTTATCCAGGAGGCTGACATTGGGAGGATCATGGTTTGAGGCCAGCGTGGGCAAAAAGTCAGCCTCCCATCTCAGTCGATTCATACGAAGCTGCATGTCTGTGATCCCAGTTATGCAGGTGGCCATAGATGGAAGAATTACAATCTGACACTGACTGTGGGCAAAATAGTGAGATCCTTCCTGAAAATTAACTAGAGGAAAATGGGCAGGGGAATGGCTCAGGTAGAATGCTGCCAAGGAAGCATGAGGCCCTGAGTTCAAACCCCAATACTGTTTAAAGAAAAAAACAAAAATGAACACTATGCCTTCTTCTTAAAGTAAACCAACTTATCAAAATAAATTTAAACACTGTGACTCAAATATTGGTTAGGCAATAAATAATTGCAGCATATTTGTTCCAAGTATATATTTCTCTGACACTTGCTGCTTTTCCTCCCATAGAAAACCAGTGCTTTGAGGTGATTTTCTCATATATTTATGTCCACTCATTAGTCCTGCCTCTGCCTCCTGGTTTACATGGGGTTTTGTGAGTACTTCTTCACTGTCTACACTGAGTGCTGGTGTGTGTGTCACATCCTTTCCCAATAAAGAGACATACCCATGACACTGTAAAAGATACCCACAAATTCACCATTTCTACTTCATTCATTTATACAATGGAAAGCCTCAAAAATACAATTGAGAAGAACAAATGGCTTCTTTCAAGTAAAATGCAGATTCAAAGCGATTGATCTTATTTTATTGCTTGATAATGAATAGATTAAACATTTCATGCTTTAATAAGTGATGCACAGCTTAAACATTTAAAACAGTAATATAAAAATACAGTACAGAGCATAAATAAATAATGTATTTTCATTTCTAGTCAGATACGGAAACCCTCGATGTTAATTCTAATTCACTGGACAAGGAGGCATAAGGTACATAACACATCATGTTGTATAAATCCATGAAATTATATTTCCAGGATTCAGTAAGGAACTAAAATCAAATTAAGCACACTTGTGTTAAATAAATAAAGACTAGGTCAGACACCTCTTTTCCAAATTGGACCAGGTATGTCAAAAGACTTTCTGTAATGACAGGCTTAAAAAGGTTCATGACTGAAGCACCTTGCATTTCAGACTCGTTTTTGCACAATATTTTGGCTTCTTGTGAGAGGTTCAGAAAGTATATATGCACCTATGTATTTGAATCACTCTTGATGAAAAGGGCCAAGTAAGCCTTAATGCACCATGAGAAATATCCTAGGGTGTACAGTGTCTTTTAAATTTGAGAATTCAAGTATTTAAGTTCTATAAAGTTACGTGATACCTTCTGAATGTTTCCAAGAAGTTGTCATATTAATCCTTAGAAGCAGGCTTATTTTAAGAGGGAATGCTGAGTTTCTGAACTCAAACTTAACCTTACTTAAAAGCCTATTTCTGTTTGTGATCATTTCTTTTAACCTAGCAGGGCTTTTATAGTGAACATTTTTCAATATTGAGTAAGTTCCCAGAAAACCCTCAGAGGCCTTAGGACTACTGACTAGAAACTCATGAGGGCTTTCACAGATTTATTACTGCTGCTCATTTGTATGGGGGAAATTGTGTTTTGGTTTGGAAATTCAGAATCTGTGTTTGGGAACATTAATACTGCTCACATTATTTTCAGCTTACCTCCGTATGTATCTTGTGGGAGGGATGGGGCTGGGGAACACCTTTCCAAGCAGGAGTTTAGATCAGCTCTGTGGGAGTACACTTACATGGGAGCCACAAGGAATCCTGAGAAGGAGGAATGGACATACTCTGACGAGTATAGGCCATTTGACTCAGCATTGGGCAGCTGGAGCCACACCTGGTCATTTTCTGTGAGATCCATGATGGCGCTGCCTGAAGCCTGATCCAGGTAGCCTTTGGAATACTCATCATAGGTGTACATTACCGGGGTGCCATTCTTATACAGGCCTATCCAAGCATGAGTGCCTTTCACATGAATGTGATAGGAGAAATAGTATATTCCTGGGATCCTGCAGGTAAAGATTCCTGTTCTTGGGTCATAATGCTGTTGCCTGTTATATAAAATCTTATCAAATGGGATGGGAGCACCGATGGCTGGGTAAGCTTTGGAGAGAATAACACTGAAAGCCGATACAGGCATTCCAGTTACCCCCTGGTTGGCACTGACAAGAGGCATCCCAGAAAGACTGGGCCTTTGCCCTGCCTTTATAAAGCCCTCAGGCGGGACTGCTTGGCCTGGGGGACCTGGAGGGCCTGGGGGGCCGGGAAGCCCTGGCTCTCCATTGTGGCCTCTTGGACCCGGAGGCCCTGGTGGCCCTGTGGGTCCATTCAGACCTTTAATTGCTATGCCAGCTGGGCCAGGAGGACCTGGGTTTCCAGGATCACCTTTAGATCCAGGGAATCCTGGAATGCCTGGGGGCCCAATGGGACCCCTGGTGCCTGGCATACCAGGAGTACCTCTTGGACCAGCTTCACCATTGTGTCCAGGTATCCCCTTAGCTCCCACTGCACCTGCAGGGCCTGGGAGTCCAGGCGGTCCTCCCACTCCAGGGTCACCTTTTGGGCCTGGTAACCCTGGGTTGCCCTTAGGACCACTGAGCCCTGGTTCTCCTGGGTATCCTGGTTTTCCATCTAACCCAGGGGGACCCCTTGATCCTCTAGCCCCAGGGGGTCCTGCAGGCCCAACTGGCCCTATGTCACCTTTAGGGCCTGGAAGACCATGGCTTCCTGGGATGCCTTTTGGTCCTTGGGGACCCATATTACCAGGAGGTCCACTCAGCCCTGGCTCCCCTGGATGACCTGCTGGCCCTTGTTCCCCTTTGGCCCCTGGACCCCCTGGGAGACCAGTAGGTCCTCGTGGTCCCTTTACACCAGGCAAACCTGGCTTCCCAAAGCCAGGAGGCCCAGGAGGCCCATCACTTCCTGGAACCCCAGGGTGGCCTTTTGTCCCCGGAATCCCAGGCTGGCCCGGAAGTCCAGCAGCACCTGGCTTTCCAATGCCTTCCCGTCCTCGTTCCCCAGGAGGCCCTTGTGGACCTGGTGGGCCGCTTGCTCCTCTTTCCCCTGGGAAACCCCGATCACCTTTGATGCCAGGCTGTCCTGGAAACCCATTCTCACCTCTTTTTCCCACGCCGGGAGGACCAGGCGGTCCCATGGGACCCTGAGGGCCTGGAAGGCCCCTCTCCCCTGGGCGGCCAGGCGCGCCATATCCAGCTTCCCCTTTCTGTCCGTTCACCCCAGGGGCTCCTGCTGCTCCCTTTTCCCCAGGAAAGCCCCTAGGTCCTGGAGCGCCTGTAGGTCCCTGTTGTCCAGGTTTTCCTGACACAGAAATTCCAGCTGGGCCGGGGATTCCAGGGGGTCCTGGTGGGCCCCGAGGTCCTGGTAAGCCAGTGGGTCCAATATCTCCTTTTGGTCCATACGGTCCTCTCTCTCCAGGCTTTCCTTGGAGCCCTGGCAAACCTGGTTTCCCAGTGGCCGATAATCCTGGTGGGCCCGGCAATCCCGGCTCTCCTTGTAGTCCAGGACTTCCATAGCCTGGTTTTCCTGGTGGTCCAGAGGGACCCGGGTGTCCTCGAGGTCCAGCGGGGCCCGGTGGGCCAGGAATACCTTGCTCACCTCTTACTGATATACCTAAAAGATACAGTAATACATCAGCCAACAGAGGGATGGTTAGTAACTTCAAGATAACTGATGTTTCTCAAAATATAGATCCAGACAGAGTACTGCATTATCATTTGATCCAGACATTAGGAAGACATTCTTCAGTGAGTTCCATTGATGCTCTTCATTGAGTTCCAATGACACTCAGTTTATATTTTGCTTATTTGTTTAAAAAACTGCTAAAGCTGGACATGGTAGCTCACACCTGTCCTTTCAGATGCTAGCCCAGATAAAATGTTCAGGATAACCTCATCTCAACAGTAAGGGCTGAATGTGGTGGTATATATCTGATAGCCCAGCTAGGGTAGGAAGTAAAATTAAGGGGTATTCCAGGCCAGCCTGGATAGGTGAAATACTATCTCAAGAATAACAAGCATGTAGGTTTGAGTTCAAACCCCAGTACCAGCCCCACCTCCAGAAAACAGACTACTGGAGATAATGAATGTTTCACAAAGCCATGACTACCATAATACTTCCATCATATCCTAATGATACATAAAAATAAACTAGAATTGAAGAATTCCTCTAGAAAATGTATGCATTGGAGTTTTTAAAGGAAAAAATCACCTACTTAGAAATGGTAAGAAAAGGCTATAAATAAAAGTGAGCAATAAATGAAAAACTGTTTACTAACTGTAAAAAATTTTCCCTTACAGGGGGCTGGGAAGGTGGCTCAGTGGTAGAGCGCTTGCCTTGCATGCATGAGGCCCTGGGTTCAATTCCTCAGCACCACATAAGAAAAA